CTTTGCAGCACTTGCTACAATTTTAATGGCTGAATACAAGATTAAAAAAAAAAATCCTTCCTTATATATAGAATTCTAGATAGCTTTATATAGCTTGCTCCTTCTTTCTGGCTTCATTTTCCTTTTTTTTACACTAGCATATTGTTTATTAATTCAGCAAGAATATATAGGTAATAAATTCTCACAGTTTGTTTATCTGAAAATACTTGTATGTCTGAAAATATTTTGTCTTCACTTTTGAATCACAGTTTACAGGACATTTGAAAATTTGCCGAGCATATTGAAGATGTTATTCCATTGTCTTCTAATATCTATTATTGATGAAAAGTCTACTGTCAACTTTGTCACCCTGTAGGTATTCTGCTCTTGGTCCTCAGTAGCTTTTATGATACCTTCCTGATCACTGATGTTCTGAGTTTCATTCAAACCTACCTAGGTGTGACTTGTTTTTATTTATTCCAGTCTAGTTGGGCTTTATTCAACCTGAGGACTCATTTAAATTGAGCTTTATTCAACTTGAGGACTCTTGTAAACTGAGATTTATTCAATTTTGTTAAATGTCAGTCATTTATATAAAATATTGTCTCTTCCCCAGGCTCTCCACTTTTCCAATCTGGAACTCTTTTCATGCATATATATGAGCTTTTTATTCCATTCTCTACATATTCCAGTATTTTCAGCAAAGCAAAATTATCCTCAATATCCTTCAGTGAATATATTCATTTTTCTTCTATGATGAATCAACTATTTAAAAAGCCGTCTGAGTTATTATTTTAATAATTATATTTTAATCTCTAGACTTTTTATTTTTTCAAATCTTCCTGTTCACTACTCAAAATGGCCTATTTTTATTGTAGGAATTCCATTACATCCTCTTTAAAAATCTTTTTGAACATTAAAAAAACCCCAATTACTTAAAAAAATTTAAACACTTATTTTAATGTCCTTTGCTGATTGTTCTCTTATCTTTAATTTCCTCAGACGTGCATACTCCTTTTATTTTTTGGCATCTGTTATCATCATCTATGAAAAGAATTTTTTATATCCATTGTAATTTTAGTCTGTGAGCTTATTTTGCTTAGGAGTTCCTGGATTGTGGTGGTACTTTCGTTGTGTAATTTTTTGGCTGCATTTTCTTGAGCTCTGGGAGATTAACTTTCAAATGCTACAATTATGCTTAATAAAAATTACATGTAATTTTCTATTAAGAAACTTTCAAAGCCTTTGGTTTTTTTCTTATCTCTTTCTCTACTTTTCTGCAGGAGATAAGAATTTAGATAGAGAACTCCTGACATGTTCATGAGGAAGTATGCCTTCATCAGTAGAATCACCAGCTTTGTACGAAACTTCCTGCAAATGCTTTGCGACTCTAGATACAATTACGTGTTCAAGGATAAGGGAATCTAATTTGTAATCTACATCAAAAAAATATATCTATCTGTTGTTAATAACATTATAAATCTATGGTACATGCTGAACCTAATCCTCTTAACAGTCTATAAAGACATAAAATTTAAAAATAATGTATCTTTTCCAGTGTTACATACAGAAGGAAGAAGAAAAAAAAAATGATTCATTGAGCTCCTATAATACAGCAGGTGTTTTATAAATGTTACTATATTTTGTTATCACAAAAGTCCATATTCCTCTTGTACAGATGAGGGAAATCAGGCTGAGAGATATTTATTTACCCCTGAGCATACAGCTAGAAGACAAGAGTGGGATTCATATTCTAGACTGTTCATCCCAGGGAATGGCCTTTTTACTAGACCACACAGGTGTTATAAAACATCCTGCAGAAAAATTCCTCATGTTCAGTTTACAATCATCGCTTGGTCTTCACTGATCAGCAAGGTCTGCAAGTCAACAGGAAGTATAATTAGAACTGTCTTCTATTCCTAACTAGGGCAGGGGTTTCAACCTCCTGAATACTTAGAGAAAAATTTACCTGCTTCCTCCCAATCTGTTTCCCTTCTTTGTGGTCTCTAGGATTGTCCTGAGGACTATCGTTTGGAGATAACTTGCTACTCTGCTTTGGTCTGCACTCTTGTCTGGCCCAGGGCTGCCACATGGCTCCCTCAAAGTTCCAGACCTTGTCTGAGCTTCATAATTGCCATATATAGCTCTGACATGGACATAGTCCCTGAAGTGCACAAATTTTACACCGCTTAGTCCATTTTTAAGCTTTTATCTCTGAAACAAGGAATATTAATTTCTCATTTTAAACACAACTCACCAATGTTAAGCACTTTAGAGTACTCCCTGCAATCTTGAATTGTTACTCCTAAGATATGAAAGACTAACTGAAAATCAGTAAGTCCAAACGAAGTCTAGAATTTACATCTAGAGAGAAGAGAAAGGGAAAATTGGGAGAATGAAAGATGAGACAAATAGAGAAGGGGAGCCTGGGGGAGGTAAAGAATACTGAAGTTATGATGACCTGCGCTGCATCAGAGCCACTGTAGGATTATTCCAAACATAACTTTTGGTTAAGCTGTTCACTTGTGGCTAATCTCAAAAGGCTTCATTGTATGATAATTGGGAAAGATGACTCTAACCAGGTTGGTGGACATGTGAAATCAGTTTTTCAATATAGATTAGTAATCAGTGGAATAAAAAGATACATCTTGGATCTGTCTATCTATCTCTCATCTTTTATGCCTAATTAAAATTCAAAGCCAAATATAATTGTAATATTAAATTGATTGTTCTTCATACATATTATTATTACTTCTGTTAGCACGGATACCCAGAGTTTACATAAAAATATATTCCCGGGGCGCCTGGGTGGCTCAGTTGGTTAAGCGTCTGCCTTTGGCTCAGGTCATGATCTTGGGGTCCTGCTTATCCCTCTCCTTCTTCCTCTGCCCATCCCTCTGCTCATGCTCACACACTCCCTCTCTCTCACTCTTTTTCAAATAAATAAATATTCAAAAACTATATTCCCCACTCCAGGCACCTTCTGAATTTTGGTTCTCTCAGTTACAAAATCAAGAAGAAACAGTTTATGGGGAAAATACATCTTAGCATTTTATTATGACTTTTAAAATTTTATGATGGTTTACATGTCCTTGGTTTATTTTACCAATCATCATTATGTTTTACAAATATGTGTTGAGAGCCCTTTATGAATAAGGACGTAATGACATTTTAAGTGGGTGGTTTGTGGAGATTTTTGATCCTGTGTCCATTTAACTATAAAAAATTAATAACTTACCTTGACCAGGTTGTAAAAAAATCTAATCCCGCATATAGGATGTGTCAAGATATGGGGAAAATTGGAATGGAGAAATTAGTTAGTAGTGAGATAAATCAAAGCAAGGGACTTCTCCTTGAATGATCTATTAAATTCATTGAAAATATTTTACTTGAATTTTCTTTATGGTTGCCTTAATCTTTCAATTCATTTTGTATTCACAGACACAGGCTTTCTGTTAGTGTAAGCTTTGGTGATTTATGACATATTATGTTCATAACATCTAATAGGAAAGATAATAGGCTGAAATGTGCAATCAGCTGGAATAGGATTTCAAATGTAATATAGTCTCAATATATTATATTACTTCTTCCAACTTCTCAAATATTCAGCTGCTATTAAATCTTAGGGTCCTGGGGGCACCTGGGTGGCTCAGATGGTTAGGCGTCTGCCTTCGGCTCAGGTCATGATCCCGGGGTCCTGGGATCGAGTCCCACATCGGGCTCCCGGCTCAGCGGGGAGTCTGCTTCTCCCTCTGACCCTCTCCCCTCTCATGCTGTTTCTCTCTCGCTCGCTCTCTAAAAAATAAATAAAATCTTTAAAAAAAAAAAATCTTAGGGTCCTGGATTTCATCAGAAACAGTGTATTCATGGATTTTTGTAATGTTTTGTAAAAGAAGTAACATGTAGTATATTTTTCCTTGGTTAATAAGCAGCATTAACAAAATTACATGCTTAAAAAATAAAGCCATGCTGTCTAAGGCATATTTTTAAAATACCCCATATTAAATGGAATCAATAGTATCACATAAGAAATTCCATAAAGTCTCATCTGAAGGTTGAAACAAATGAAATTATCCTTTACATAGGTTGAAAATGATTACATATCTATTGGTTTCAACCTAACACATGAAGAAATCCTTATTTCCCAGCCTTAACACATTTGTTTTGTGGGAAGCACTATTTTTGCGTGATTACATAGCAGCAAGCATTCCTCTTCACTTTATGGTATCTCAGAATAGGAACAAAAAATGTATTTGTTAGAAAAAATCCTACGGTTTATACCCTATTACAAATAAAGAGCGAAGACCCAACTTATGCGTATGAATTGCCTTTTTAAGGAGAAAATCACCAAATATCCATCCAGTTGTTTGAAAGAATAGTTGTTCCTTTTCCCTTTGGCTTGTAATATTTCAGTGGTCACAATATTTGATATTTTCCAATCTGCTATCATTTATAAACCATCTTACTAGGCATTCACTTCTGAAAAGCCTTTTAACCCATTAAGTAGTTAAGCCAGATACGAGGACTAAACTACTATTCTTCTAAGTCAATGAGATAAGGTCCTTATGCAAGTTGCTATAAGAAGATGTCTCACCAAAGATTTACTATTTACCATGTATACGTTAAGAAAGTAAAATTGGCATGGGATGGTCTCAGGAAAGCAATACGTATTTTTGGATTACACATTGAAATAATGTAAATGTATGATCCATTGACAAATTGACATTGCCAATGTTATGGAAAAAATGATGTGGCAAAACAAATTAAGATGCAGTTTTCGTTTGTGATAAAGAGCCTGTTCCCTTTGTGAGTTGATTTATTGTGTTCTTAATCTGAAAAACTAATCACTAGCGTTGCAGGAGCCCAAAGTGAGGGGAAACTGCTCACTTTCAGAATGCATATTAGAAGTCTGAAATTGCACCCAGTTTGGTTATTTTTTTTTTTTTTCCGTTTGTTAGTAGGCCTCTGTTATTAGGGTAGCAGTTGCAAACACATACGTGGGTTTGCCAGTAACAACTCACAATTTGTGCAAAGTTGAGTCTTCGAAACTGAGCAAATTTGCTCTCAATTTCCCGCCAGCGCTTGCTGAGCTGGATCTGAGTTGGCTCCACTGCCATTGCGGCCCCATCCTCAGACAAGCCCTCAGCTTGCCTGCGCACCACATTCAGCTCCTCTTTCTTCTTCTGCAATTCACGGTCAATTTCCTATTGAGCAAAACCAATACAGGGCCCAGGGCAGTTAGCTAACCACATCAACCAACCCGCAAGCAGCACACACTTCTCTCAGAAATTTCAAAGGCTGTTGTCATTTTATTGTCATGTTCCGTGATTTACAACTATGGAAGCCATCACTGTCATCTTCCCCCAAGGATCCAAATGTTATTTCAGTTATCCTTCGAATGCTCAGTTTTAGATATGCTAATTAGTAAAATATTTAAATTCATCTAACATTTTCCTTTCTTCTCAATTCCTCTGGTGTTTTGGGGGCTAACCCAAATTGGAGTGGCTACTCATTATTTCTTAGGGACCATCCACATAGAATATAATTTAGAGGGTCAGTGCTTATTTATTTTCTTTTTTAAAGTTCTGAGGAGCTCAACAGAGAACGAAGCAAAATAAAAAGTGTGAAATAATAACAGAAAAAAAACATCTTCGGACAATATGCAAATCAATCTATAGAGATTTGACACTGATGTGTGAAGATGCTCTGATGAAATGAATGTGCTAACATGAGAAAGAAGTCGTCCATATACCGATAAATCATTTGTTCATCTGGAACAAAGATACACAAAGTCAATTACAAGTTTACCAGAAACCATACGACATTTCTTAATTCATTTTACATTGTCTAGAGATAAAATATTTTATTCATTTCACATTATGTCAATTTAAAAAACACTTAATACAATACATTTACCAAAACAAAACACAATACAAGGAAATGCAGCAAATCAGAGAGAACACTAAGAGAGGAAACAACATCAACGATTTTAAATACGATCCACACATGTTAAGATAAAGAAATTAAATTGTAGCAATAAAATCTAGTATTGACATTCTAAAACAACATTACCTTTATTTTCCTTTCATCTCTGGGTTCAGGTAGGCTGGCTAACTTTTTTTCAATGTCATCCAAGCATTTCAGGAGATCATCAGCCTGCCTCTTGTACTGATACCACTGGTGAGAAATTTCTAGAGCCTTTTTTCTTCTTTGAGACCTCAAATCCTGTTCATGGTGCAGATATTATTAAAATATCAATATATATGTATAGTACACTTCTGGCTGTAGTTATTTACAAATAATGAACCCCTCATCTTCTTGTACAGCTTCACTTAAATTCACATTTAAATGCTGAATATACAAAGAGATGATGAAATCAGGTATTTTTGTGGCAGGACCTATTCACACAAAGCTAAGGGAAACTGAACAACCCACTTAAAGTATTTTCTCCTGACATGTGCATAGTTGTTCAGAAATCTTGTCTTATTTAATTGACTAAATGAGTCAACTAAATTATCGTGTAGTCTATGTGAAATAGTTTAGTAGATGAATACACCTGTATTAACCAGACACTTGCACAAATTTAATGAATTTGTATTTGACTTTTAAAATAGATACAAATTCTAAAATTTGTATCTTCAGCCCTGGGTTCATCAACAAAATTTTAAGTTTACATAGCGAAGCAACTACATTCATGGTTTTAGCAGTCCTCATAAAAATTTTCATTGGCCATGAATATTTTGTGATTAGAAACATGAAATCATCCTAGTTACCATATAAATTGTTTTGAGCTATATACATAGAAGTGTGAAAGATACATATCTGTGAGTGTACATGAAAATGACAACTATTATAAAAATGCTCTTTCTTTTCAGGCTTCCATGGCCAACTTTTTCTTATTATATCAAATCGTGTTCCAAATGCAAAATGATGAATTAGTTTAAAAAGAAAAGGGAAGTGCATGGTTTCCAATCAACATGATGAAATAAATAAGGGCAACTGCTTAATAAATCAACAAAGGGGGGCAATTTATCATCTTGCTCCTTACAAGCACACCCAATGTCTTCCCCGATCAATAGAATTTGTTGTAATGCCATTTTATGATAACACAAGGGAACGTAAGAGTTCAGAATACAGCTTTCATTTCTTCAGAACATTAGTAATTAGGGTTTCACGTACAGATTTAACTGGAGCAAAAGAAAATAAGGAAAATCAAAGAACTGCTGAAATATTCATTGCTTTGGAAAAGTTCTGACCTTCTTTGAAATATTTCATAAGGACTAGAACTGGAGCCACTTGGCAGGTTAATATAGTTACTGAATTTGGTGGTGTAGATTAGTTTGGCAAGTGGAGCAGATTTTCATAATCACTTTTAACATTTATTTGCAAGAATGATCTAAATTTCATTCTCATTTTGTTCAAAATTGAGGATGTAAAATTCACTGCAGTTTACATTTTTAGTTGAATTTCTAAACCTCCTGTGGAGGTAATAAATTCCTGGGATGAGCCAGATGGAATGCTGCTTTTTTCAAAGGTACCAGGATAAAGCCACGTGAATGAGCGCTGAGCCATGTCTTATTCGTGACACAACTCACATCTTCACCAAGAGAAAGGGCTTATGGTCATAAAATCTCAAACTCCTTTCATTCCCTAAGCACAAGGTGATGCGTAATGTGTAAAGATATTTAGAGACATTATATAGATTTCTTTAGAGATATGCCAGATAACCATTAAACACTGCTGTGCAGTAGGACACATATCATCATATGACCACTATTGATGCTTTGGAAAGCCTGGTCACAGTTGGAAGTGTGTGAATTACAGAGCTTTCTGATTTTCTGAGCACATTATGGCTTGCTCTTACACTCCCTCAAGAAAGAGGCCTTTTCTATTTACTATATTTATCAGCAGTTACCTTCAGAACACCTGCTGGCCAATTAGACTTTCCTTGTGGATTCCTTGCAGGCACAATATTGTGTAATTACATTCTCAGCAGTGTTTATTTGGTTGTCTGACTATATGGGGAAAGGTTTTATACTCTTATTTGCATACAGAAAGCGGACTTCATCCACCTACTAGGTGGATCTACCCGCATAACTACATAGCTCTACGAGAGTGATTTACAATGAAAAGTTCGGCAATTAACAGTATTAGAAAATCAGCCATGCATGCCAATAGGGGATATTGAAAAGCACATTAAAAAAATAAAAGGTTATTTCACAAAACTCTTCACAAGTCCAGTGTCATGTCAAGAACTTCCTAAATATTATTATAGAAAAACCAACACTATTCTGTCCTTTCTGCACACATCCAGATGAGTCACATGGGTGCTTGAGGCTATACGCTACCACTGGTTCATACGAGAGTGCCAGTTCTTCTTCAAGGACATTATTTTTGAGGATTCCTTTATAAATGAAATTAGACTCTCTAGACACTTAGTTGCAACGAGTGACTCTCTTAAAGGCAAAATGAAGTTAATTGAAAAAAAAATTAAGTAGAATCCCAGGCCTTATTAAACAAATATTAGATTACCAGAACTGGACCTACTTTAGATAAAATCAATAAAATATAGGCAGCAGAAAACCCACAAAAATATGAATTGGTTATTCTGGCGGTTAAGCAGGTCATTCAAGACAGACGTAAAAGTAATGTAAAAATAACTATATCAGAAAATTAAATGTATAAACACAATGAATAATGCATTGTAATATTTTCCAAGCACTACTCAGAAAAACTTGTCTCAGCCAAAAAAAAAAACAAAAAACAAAAAACAATTTTTTAAGCAACACTTCTTTCAAAATCAAAGACACCACTCAAAAATGTTAAATAAAGCACACACACTGAACAGGAAAAAAAATGTATTTTCTGGTGACTAAGACTCTTAAGCAGATTTTATTTATGCACAATATAGTTTACCCTACATATGAAAAAAAAACCACAGGCAAGGTATATTATAATTTTAGCTCTAATACCTTGAGAGCATTATGTTTTGTCTGTAACAGCTGTTGTTTTATCTTTATTTCCTCTCGCTTTCTCTCATCTGTGATTCTTTGTTGTAAGTTGTCTCCTCTTTGCAACAATTCTTTTACAGTACCCTCATTGTCTTCACTCTGATTAAAAACAACAAGTACAGTCTTCATTTTGGTTTTTAAAAAGCTGTACATCGTTAAAAAGAGATAATAAAAAATGTTATTTAAACACACACAAAAATCCAATTTAAGACTTTCCAGGAAAGTTATTCTAAGATACTATGCTCATAGTTTTGCTTTTATATGGTTTACTTGAGCTTTGAAAAGAAGGATCTAGGAAGGACGCCAACCAGTTCAAAAGGATACACCTGATGGGGGGCATTTGTAGGAAGATAAGGTTGTAAGGTACTTCGTCATTTCAGACAAGGTACCAACTGGTGTGAAGCATTCTTCTGGCTTTGATTTTTGGTAGATTTCCTGAAATTAGTTTGGAGAAGTGAACTAAACGTGTCATCTATAATGTAACCTAACCCATGTAAAATATGGATGTGGATGCATGTCAGATGGCAACGATTCTTAACATTTTAACACACTCACTCCTAAGTGAACATATTTTAAATGTACACTAATTTCTAGTCACCTACTTTAAATAACCTGTATGTCCAAATTTAGCACAAATATTAGGGCATTACTAAAAAATGATGTGTTCAATCGCTGCTGAATATTGCAACTAGTTTCTAAAAATACATCAGATATGCATGTTGTTTTTAAATAAATGCAATCCAGTAAGTATTAAAATAGAGATTAGGAAAATTCCTTGAAAATTATTTTCGGTATGCATTTAGTTTTTAAACTCCAAGAATAATATTTTCATTTACTTTGAAAGAAAACTATTTGAATAAGTGCCAGTCTAATATGGTAGCATATATGACCATTTGATTTTTCACTTCTAGTTTCCTATCTTTCTTTCAACTCAGTATATGAAAACTTTCTTTTGAGGAGGTTCACCCTGCAGTGGTACTCAAGGTACTCTAATGAGCTAAGAATAACAAATATTAGACAATTTTTTAAAGTCACATGTATGTGTATTTGTGTGTAATCATCCATAGTACTCAAATGCTACCTATCTAAATCTGCAGTGCATATTTAAACTGCTATACACAACTTAAGAATTATTTTTTCAGAGGAATGGCATTTTATCTGAGATTTGTCAATTACTAGTGTAATAAAATAATATAACATGGACATATGTTTATAATCTGTGAAAGACCTTATTTATTTTAAAAAGTCTTTCCCTTTTAGTCTTTCCTTTGCTGGGGCTGAGGACAAAAAATCAACAACAACAACAACAAAAACCTGCTTCACTTCTTCTCCCATAGCAGGTAAGGGCTAGCCATAGGGCAGAGTTGGTGAACAGCCCGAGGTAAACAGTACTCTCTTTCACCTCAGCGCCCTCTGGTTTCTTCTTTGACACGAAGGAGAGGTAGCTGTACCTCAGCATCTTGGAAAGCCTCTTCTTGGCTTTCTTTTGTTGAGCTGAGTTGGCAAAGCCACCAAACCCCATACATGGGGAGTACCGACTGATTCAGGCAGCTCTAGGAATTCAGAATTGATACCAGTGCGAACTAAGATTGGTGGAAAATAGTTTTCCTATTGCTTCACATGCCTACTATCTAAAATGCATATATTGCCTTTTAATGTCATTTTAAAGCATTGTCTGAGAAGTTCCTAACATTGATACATGTCTGAGAAATCTCAAGCATGATATATGTAGAAGTTAAGAATGCCATATTGGTGATGGCTGTGGAAGAGGGAAAAGGAAATTGTGACAAGGACGTGGAAGGAGAAAAAAGTCAGTGAAAAGAGGTGTGATGCAGAAATATTCAAGCCAGAGAGAAATGTAACAGACATTTTGAAATTAATCAGGGTTGAAGGAGAATGTTATGAGTTTGGGAACAGCCCACATGGTTAGATTTCTTTACTCCCATGAAATAAGCAGCATGAATTTATACATATTTTAGACATCTATTGTACTATTTCATCAACTTTTTGTGAAAACCACTTTGTGGTAAACTTTAATAAATAATTTTTATATTGTGTCTAATACCCTCCCTCTGAAATAAACGTTATATTACCAAAATCATGACTGACACAAAACACCATCCATCCTTGATGGCTGAGTTTCTTATTAAGTTTCCAATTTATTTTCTAATTTAACTCTTTTCCCTCCATTACATTTTGTCCTCTGAGTTTGAAAATAGTACAGGTCAAAGCAAAACTGTGGAACTACTTATTAGGATCTGCAAGTGCTCCTATGTGACCATACCACAGTAATCTGGCATTCATAATAAACATTCAGCCAGAATACTTTGCATTTGTAATAAATCATTAGAATCACAAAATGTGCAAGGTATGCACCAAGAACTTAGTTGGAGACTTGAGTTATCTAATTTCTTTTCAAATATTTATTCATTTCCACTCCTAGGTCATTCATACTTTTATCACAACCAATTTACCATATCTTTATTGAAGTCTTCCTCTTTCAGATTCACCCCCTGCTGAATTTCAGCCTCCAGTGGTTCAAGCAATTTTTGTATATCTGAGTTAAACTGCTCCAATTCCTTCAAAGGAATGGAGGCCTAAAAAAAAAGATAGTGCTAATTTAAATCAAAATTACTTTTTATTAGAAACATAAACCCCCAAAATTACATTTGTTCAACCTCCTGTTGCTAAAATAATGACATGCATTATGTTTCCATATTATATTTTATGAAGGCTTTGAAATACAACTGGGAAAGTACCTGAGGATGCAAATAAAGACAAACATTTAACATCATCAGAGCTGAACATACATGCAAGATAATGCAATTTGTCATTCTCTTTTTTCAACAGAAGTTCATTTCCATATATTTGAGCTAATTGTTCATATTCTAAAGTTGAATTTGATCTTATTTAAAATATTCTGATATAAATACCATTTGTGTAAATATGTCTTATCAGAAATTGCCTCATTCACAAGTAACAGTAACCTCAGGTAGAAAAGCAGAATTGTCTCCTTACCCTCAGAAAAACTACATGGCAATCTGCTCCAATATTTTAAATGACATTTTTAGCATGGAAAATTTGACAGGCACGCTCTCATAAGACAAGCAATGCCATGAGCTTGCCTTAGGAATACTTTCTTTGGTAGCACAAAAAATTCAAATGAATGAACCCAGAATATTTCACATAAAAAATCTGAATATATATTTTTCAACTTTACAAACATCACAGTTTCTTTGATTTTGAAATTCATATTGACCATAGTCTCAAAAAACTTTAAAGTCCCTTTTTTCTAAAGAAACCACTTGAAGAGGAGTGATGATTAAAAATACATTGGAAATTAAATATATATTCAAAAGAGTAGGCAAGATTTAATTATCAAAGTTCAAACAGTTAATAAAATAAATATGCTATTGATCTTTACCCTGTATTCAATTTCTTTGCATTAAAACACTAAAAAATATTTTATACCTGATAGCTTCTGAAAACTCATAGATGACATATAGAAATCTTATTTTCTTACAGAGCTAAACATTTGCCCATTTGTAAAACCAATTCAGGAACGACCCCTGGTGTTTTATGCCAGGACCACGGCATGCATCAAGTCTGGTCCCCACCTACTGTTCCCCATCACATTCCCAGTCATAATCTTACTCTTTCTTTATTAAACAGCATCTCCTAGAGGACAATAAAGATAAGTGTTCAAGGAAAAACCAAATATCTACTCATGAAAAAGTGAATAATCAAATGATATTAACGAGAATGTGATTCGCACACACAACGCAAATAGACACTTATCTGTCAGGCACTTTTACACACACCAGAAAAGATTTATGGGCTCTTTTTTAAAAAGTGACTTATTTTCAGTATTATTTTTAAATCCTAATGAACATTTGCAATTTGAAATGTCATAGTTGGTTCTTGAACCAGTACAGAATGGGAGTATTGTAAATATGCTTAAGGGATGTTTCCACCGCTGTATTATAAACATACCTCTACACTTTTAAAACATATTTCTCAAAGTATTATAAATGCAAAAAGATGAACAACTTTTCGAATCATAACTAAACAATCTTAATTTGATACTATTTTGTGTTATTGAATTGTTCACATTTGCTAATATTTAATTAGAGCAACTGCATTGTTCTACATAATTATGTGAAAATACAACAATAGGTATTTTTAAAATAACTTTTATTGAGTGCTTGGGTGTCAAAATAACATGGGTCCATTTGCAGACATACTTATCTATTTTACTTCTCTAGCTCACCCTCTCTCCCCATAATCAAATACAGGGTGTAGTTTCAAAGGCTCAGAACTTGGGCCTCCAAGCATCTTTATCAATACTCCTTGCCTAATGCATTGTATTATCTTCCCAAATTTAACTATAACTTTCACAGTATCTCCCAGATATTCATCTTAAGCTGAATTTTTGAATTCAACATAGACTTTCCAATAGCCAGCTGATTTCTCACTTAGAGTTCAACATGTCTAGAAATGAGCTCATTATCTTTCCCCCCAAGATGCTTGCAACACCAACTTCCCTAGTTCTGTAAATAGAAGACCTTTTTTTTCCTCAGTCATCTAGGCTTAAAGTGTGAGTCATGTTATTTTTCAACACTTCACTCTAATATCTAATCAAATCAAATAATTGTGAATTCATTCACCATGATCTACTTGCTTTCTATTCCCAGAGATATCATCTCTTGTAGTCCTTACACAGGAGTTAAGACAATAACCTCCTTACCGGGGTATAATCTCCTTCTCACATGACCACTTCCATCCTGTGCACTGTGATCAGTTCAATATGTTCCAAAAACATGGCTTTCATTAAGTTATTTCTCTATTCAAGAAGTGTAAGTAGAATGAAGTCTAAACTCCAGCATGATAGTCAAGACTTCCCCTAATATTGCCCCAAGGACCTTTCTAGCCTTATTTAAGTGCTCTTAATATCAAGCTTTCTTACAGGCCTGTTGGTGAACTCTGGGTACTTCCCTACTTCTTGGCCCTTAGAATGTTTTTTTTTAATCTTCTGGTGAAGAGCCTATGCTCCTGCATGAGAATGCCAAGACTGAATCTGGGCTCCACCATTTAGTAGCTGGGGGACCTTGGACAAGTTATGTGTCCTCCTTGAGCTCCAGTTTCTTTATTTGTAACATGAAGATAAGAAGGATATCTACCTCATAGGGTTGTTATGAGGATCAAATGTAGTTAGAATGCTGTCTGAAACACAATAAATGCTCAATAAATATGGGTTATCATTTTCTCCCCAAATCCTATGTATCCATATGACATATGATAAATGCTCGACAAGTATTGACTCGGTCTCCTCTCAAAATCGTACCCATCCATTGACTCCGTTAAAAGATCCTCTTTTGAAAACATATGGTTTATGAAGGATAAAATAAATGCTTGTTGACAGAGCATTTCTATTTTACCAAGGTAACTGACAAAATCATTAAATTCCAAAGGTGAGCATGGAGAAACTGAGACTCAGTTTGGTAACACTGTGCCATTCTGAACAACAAAACTTGTTGATTAATTAATCTGTATCAATGCAGAGGGTAGTTTCAAAGAAGATGCCAAAGGGCTTTGTATTTGTTCTGCTCTGTGCAGTATTTTCATCAGGAAATATCTGGAGACACAAAAAGCATGCAAAAAGACATGCAATGAGAAGGATGAGTTCCATGAACACCCCATGAAGGTAAGGTATTTATCAAGTCTTGTTCAACCTGGAGTCATTCTTGGTACATAGTAGGCACTCATAAATGAATATTGCCCGACAAACTAAGTAAATGAATGACTAATCATGGGGTAGTAGAATAAACATTTCAAGGAACTCTTGAATGGTCTAGAATTTTAAATAACCCAATTTTTGTTGTATAAAATTGAAAAGACCTGATTGGCCAAATGCTAGTAACAGTGATACCACAAAGTACAAAAACAATATAAGCAGATACAAATAGCTTTTAGGAAATACTACTACAAAATGATTTACTAATTAATCAAGCAAGATAATGCAAACTTAGATTTTTATTAGTAGTATATGTAGGGTCTGGATTTCCTGATCAAGGATTACTCTGCATTTGTTTAAGAGGCCATTATAGAGATTAGGGATTTGAATTATTCTGTGTGGTTCCAAAGTGAATAACTTGAATCAATGGGTAGAAATTACTTGGAGCCTCAATTTTAGTTTAATACAGGAACAACTGATTAGTGCCATATTTTTTTTCTTTCTTAAAAGCACTAATTTTAAAGTAGTGAGTTTCCCATTGCTGAAAATATACAAGCAGAGGCAGAATGATGATGTATTAGGATATGTTAGGAATAAGACACTTTTCACATGAATACTTCCCTAAAATTTTATCATCTTATAGTGAATTCTCTTCTCTGAATTCAAAGGGTTTTGTCTGTAGCAATGCAGCTAAATAGAAATATAACACAAGTCATATATATAATTTTAAATATTCTAGATGCCATACTAAAAAGTAAAAAGAAAGAGATGAAATTGTAATAATATATTTTATTTACCTAATTTCCCCAAATATCATATAAGCCTATAATTGAAATAAAATTAAGAAGATACTTTACATTCACTTTCTCCTATTAAGACTTCAAAAACCACTATGTATTTTACACATCTTAATTTGGAGTAGCCACATTTCAAATGCTCAACAGCGGTATGTGGTTCGTGGCTACCTTTTCAGACAGTACAGATCAGTAGTAATTATTATTATTATGACTTTGAAAAGAACAAATAGCTCATTATTAGTTTGAAATCTATCACAAGAGTAATGTCTTACTAATGAGAATTATGATGCTAATGTTTTAGTCAATAAATTTTAGTGGATTTAGACAATTCTTACAATGTCCATCTTATTCACTTGCATTCAGATATGTTCTCTGAGAGGAATTTTCTAGAAGCCTTCTGGGGATAGGAAAACTTATGGGAATGGGTTCCACATGATCTATCAGGAGTCTCTATTCCTCATTTAATGTGTACAGTACCCTACATTGTACTTCAGTATCTCTTACATATTTGAATGTAATGTTATTTCACTTTCAACATTTTATGCTTTGTCTCACCAGTAGATTTTTTAATCCCTGAAGTTCAGAATATATCTTATGTACTCTATTTTCCATAGCAAATATAACTTGTTTTTTTTTTTTTTTTGTATAGAAAAGGTACTTACTATACCAACTACTAGTTTTAGAACATCCAATATATTAATCGAATTAACCAGTGACCAATTTTGTGATGGAAATAACCATAAGTACTCAACCCGATTATTTTGGCTATACTATTGACCGGATCAGACCAGCCATTTGACATCTGTGTGATTAATACTCTGTTCAGATACAAGGAGTTGGGAAAATTTAGATGCTTCCTTAAGAGTTCACTGGTTTACCCTTAGGTCATAACAATTCTAATACGGCAGGCACTTCTCTAACCAATTTTTTTTATATATCAATACTTGGTCTTTGTTGTTTTGTAATTTAGAATTATTATACAAGTTTATCAAAGAAATGCATAATAAGCAAGCTTCCATAATTTAATAGCTTACTCGTGAGTCACCGAAGTTTAAAACATATAAAG